ATGCTGACAAAGGTATCCCTCGCTCCTTGGCCAGCCATTCAAGGTTCCCTGATTCTGCCCCTCTAGACTTCATCATGCAACTTAGAGGTGTACAGATATACAAACTGTGAACAATACGGCACCATTTCAAGTCATTGAAGACTTTAATCCATTTAATCAGATGTAGACTAGAAAAAAACAAGGTGCTTTCCGCCATGTTGGCGCCGGTGAAGGCCTGCTGGGAACAGGACTTCTAAAAGGCAAATATGTCTGGAAGGCTTTGGTGCAAGGCCATTTTTGCTGGCTATAAGCAAGGTCTCTGAAACCAGAGAGAGCACACAGCTCTTCTTAAAACTGAAGGTGTTATACAAATGGCTGAAAGACATTTAAAGAAATGCTCAACATCCTTAATCATCAGAGAAATGCAAATCAAAACGACTCTGAGATACCACCTTACACCTGTCAGAATGGCTACAATCAAAAACACCAATGACAGTCAATGTTGGAGAGGATGTGGAGCAAAGGGAACACTCCTCCACTGTTGGTGGGAATGTAAACTTGTACAACCACTGTGGAAATCAGTATGGCGGTTTCTCAGAAAATTAGGAATCGAACTACCTCAAGACCCAGCCATCCCACTCTTGGGCATATACCCAAGGAATACTGATTCATACCATAAAGATACATGCTCAGCTATGTTCATAGCAGCACTATTTGTAATAGCCAGAACCTGGAAACAACCTAAATGCCCGTCAATGGAAGAATGGTTGAAAAAAATGTGGTACATATACACAATGGAGTACTACTCAGCAGAGAAAAACAATGAAAGCATGAAATTTGCAGGCAAATGGATGGAACTAGAAAAAATCATCCTGAGTGAGGTAACCCAAACTCAGAAAGACAGTCATGGTATGTACTCACTCATAAGTGGATTCTAGATATAAAATAAAGAACAATCAGACCACAACCCATAGAACCATGAAGGCTATATATATAGCATGGAGGTCCCTAGGACGACTGTGGCTTATAATAAATTTCGGTTTTACTCAATTATTGAAAAAAAATAGCCAAATGAATGGAAACACATGAACTATGAACCAAAGGCTGAGGGGCCCCCAGCTGGATCAGGCCCTCTGAATAGGTGTGACAGTTGACTGGCTTGATCTGTTTGGGAGGCAACTAGGCAGTGGGATCAAGTCCTGTGCTCATTGCATGAGTTGGCTGTTTGAAACCTGGAGCTTATGCAGGGACACTTGGCTCAGGCTGGGAGGAAGGGACTGGACCTGCCTGGACTGAGTCTACCAGGTTGATCGCAGTCCTCGGGAGAGGATTTGCCCTGGAGGAGGTGGGAATGGGGGGTGGGCTGCGGGTAAGGGGAGGGGGTGGGAGGGGGGAGAATAGGGGAACCCATGGCTGATATGTAGAACTGAATGGTATTGTAAAATAAAATAAATAAAATTAAAAAAAAATAAAAATAAAAAAATAAACACCTGAAGGTGTTAAGCTCGAGATGAAACTGAATTCTACTCGGGCAAGAGATGTGCTTATGTGTGTAAAGCAAAAAACAACACAGTGATGCCTGGAGGCAAACCAAACAAAACCAGAGTGATCTGGGGAAAAGTAACCCAGGCCAAAGGAAACAGTGGCATGGTTCGTGCCAAATTCCAAAGCAACCTTCCTGCAAAGGCCATTGGACACAGAATCTGTGTGATGCTGTACCCTTTCCAGATTTAAAGTAATGAAAGTAAATAAATAAAAGTGGAAGAAAAAAAACCAAGGTAACTGGAGCTGGAGAGCGAGCTCAGCAGGTAACAGCACTGGCAGCACTTCCAGAGGACCAGAGTTTGACTCCCTCCCGGCACCCACATGGTGGCTCACAACCATCTGTAACTCCAGTTCCAGGAGATCTGACGCCCTCTTCTGGCCTCTGCAGGCACTGCACATATGTGCACAGACACAAGCAGGTAAATGTCCATCCACATAAAACAAAAATGAAAAAACAAACAAGCAAGCAAACACGACAACCATTAATCAGAAAATGGCCCAATTGTTTCATGTCTTCCATACAAAATAGCTTAATAAGGTTCTGATGCATTAGAAGTGACCCATTTATGAACTTACAACATAGTTGATAAACTCTTGTGCTAATCTGTTTTTACCCTGATAAACAGAAAAAAATAATTTTTAAAAGGGAATTGCCTTATCTTGCCTACAAATATGTTCTCTAACTACACAGTAGTAGGAAAGATAGTACAGAGAGTAGTATTTGGCCTCTGCTTCAATCTTAACAATTTCATGAGAAAGGAGAAAAATGAAACTTAAAATAATATAAGTAGCACACATTAAATACTAGAAAATATGTGTGTACAAATAAGTTCAAAGGAAAGAGTACTCAAGGTGAACTGAGGAGGTAAGTAAAGTTCTGTGAAGCTCAGACATGTGCAATGTCTGGAGAGATGTCCAGGAAGCCACGGAGAGAAGAGAGCTGGCCCCAAGGAGTCCTCTCGGGTCATTTCAGTCTCTGCTCAAAGAGCGGGTGCTGTGGCTTATGCCAGCAATCCACTAAAGGAGCTGAGGCAGAAGGAGAGTGAGCCTGAGGCCAGCCGGGGCTTCACTATGAGACCCTGCTTCAAAAATCAACAAATAAATCTATTTCAAAAGGATTATCCCCCAGGGTAGAGAGACAGCTTGGTGGTTAAGAGCACTGGCTGCTCTTCCAGAGGACCTAGGTTCAATTCCCAGCACCCACATGGAAGCTTACAACTGTCTGTAGCTCTAGTTCCACGGGATGCGACACCCTCACACAGGCAGAAGAGACACCAATGCACACAAAGTAAAAATAAATGTTAACAAATAAAATAAAATTTAAAAATTATCCCAACGCCTGGTGGTGGTGGCGCACGCCTTTAATCCCAGCACTCAGGAGGCAGAGCCAGGCGGATCTCTGTGAGTTCGAGGCCAACATAGTCCACAGAGCGAGATCCAGGACAGGCACCAAAGCTACACAGAGAAACCCTGTCTTGGAAAAAAAAAATTATCCCAACCAGAAAGTCCTTCCCTGATCCCCTCATCTAATGCCGAGGGGATCACTGCAAGAATGTTAAATAACACAGACAACCTATCTTACTCACACACATTCATCTTTTCCTTAGAAGGGCCGCCCCAGGAAAGCAGGAACTAGACCCATTTAGTGAACGGAGTCATCCCCAGGTCCTAACCCTCCAGACCACAAGAGACATCAGTAAATATCTATTGAGCAATTGAGCACCAGCAAATACAGGAGACACGGTGGAATTTCATCAGAAAGCATTTAAAAAACGAGAAGGGGATCTAGAACAAATTCAAAGAAGAGCAGACCAAGAAAAACGGTTGAAGAAAAAAAAGTAAGTGGAGCTAATACACAGATTTGGGCAGCAGTTAAAAAATAACTACAAATACAAATAAGAGAGAAAGAACAAGCATTTGAGAAGTCAGTGCATCTAAATCTGGAAGGAGGGTGGGGCAGTGTGGTGGCGCACACCTTTAATCCCAGCACTCAGGAAGCAGAGGCAGGTGGAACTCTAGGGGTTTGACACCAGCCTGGGCTACACAGCGAGTTCCAGGACAGCCAAAGCTACATAGTGAGACCCTGTCTCAAAAAAACAAACAAAACTGAGGAGCAGAGGAGACCGCAGTGTAGGACAGGTGTGCTGGGCACTGAGTAGGTCAGCAGGGAAGCTGGGCAGGGCAGTGACGCAGACTGAAGGGGACCCGAGTGGGAATCAGGCTGTTCTCCTTTCCAATATATGCTGTAGTTTTGCTACCACTTCAGAGGAAGAAAATGTTTAAATAATGACAAAGTTTCAAAGGCAAAAGTTGCATGATTTGGTCCAGTTAGTTTTTAATTTGGAAGGACATTTGTCATGTAAACTTCACTCCTTCCCTCTCCTGCCAGTGCAGGCAATGCAATGTGAAAGCCTGCCCACTGAAGATAATGAATCCTGACATCTGGCCTTTTCCAGACATAATAGGAACTGTAGCATGACCACACATGTCACTCTTGATCACACACGGCACACAGGTCTGATGTGAACAATGTCTATTATTTTGGTTCATTGGGAAGAAAAGCAACAGAAGAAATAAAGATTATAAAAGGAAAAGCTACAATGTCAGCATTTAACAGAAAGCTAAGAAGCAAAGATCTTTCATACTCAGCCACTGTTTCACAAGACAAGTACCTAAACAGAAAAACGTGCAACAAAGCCCACAGCACACCAGCGTTCACCTAAGCAGTGGCTGCCAATGTTTCGTCTGCAGCTGAGACTTGAACTCTATACAGCCATGGGTAGCCTTCAAATTCTGATCCCCCTCCTCCACATCCCCAGCTGAGATTACTGGCATGTAGTACTACCCCTAATTTATGTGGTGCTGGGGATGGAACTCAGGGCTCACACATGCCAGCCAAGCACTCGACCCACTAAGGCACCTCCTACCCTGTATAATTCTATTTTGAACTTTGTGTTTTCAGATCTCTGCTTTCACTGAGAACACATCACTGTCTTACTACCATGAACACAGACAGAGATTATCAATTATACACTACATTTATCTACCCAGGTGCTTTAGTGTCTTCTAGCATTTCAACTTCAACACACAGATTTGCTATTTTATAAGCAATAAATGAGTGTAGAATGTAACATTTGCTCAGCATCCCACATGACCTATGTCAGCATGCTCTGGCCACTTCACTCAGTTACAGTAAGCTTCACACAGTATGTATCTTGCATATAGTCAAGTTGGATCTATTTTTCCTGCTTTCACTGGAAGGGACAGTGACCTGGCTTCCAACTGGCCTACAAGTTAAGCTGAAGAATAAAAGCAGTGTGGTTATTTTTAGAGCTCTACAGGCATAAAAATACAGCATGGAACTGTGACCCACAGCTATGCACAGCAAAGCAGCACATCATGCGACAACTTCGTCTCAGCTGGCAGAGCATCTGGAGTGCCTCACACGCCTGCTCTTCATTCCGTTCCCAGAGACTCCGCAGCATGCATTTGCGACCAGCATCCATAGCTGCCGGCATCTTTTGCAAACAAAAAAAGCTACATTCAAAAGGTAGACAATTATCTAATTTGTGAAGATGAAAGATTATATATATATAAGATATATACATATATATCTTTTAGCTTAGTTACAAGGTGAATTAGTAAACAGTCTCTCTAAATGAAGACAACAGAACTTCATTCCTAACATAGAAAGTTCTTTGTTTCAAACAGTTCCAGTGGGTAAATGAGGAGACACGTTCCTTCACCGGAGGACACCTCCAAGAGAATGAGACCCGCCTGAGGGAAGCACAGTTTCAACTCCAATTCAGGCAAATTCTCTGCCAACATTCCCACAGTACATTGACTACTCCTCAGGTAAGCTTTACGCTTTCTATACAAAGAGTAATTCAGACATGTGTTTGTAGACAGCACTTTTTAAGACATTGATATTCTAAAGCCTCCTAAGCGCTTCTAATAGCAAGTGTTATTTTCAGAAACTGTTCAGTTTGCGTTATTATCTTTGGTTTTATTTAATTTCTGCTTGGTTATATCTAAGTATTTTCAAAGCTTGGGTTTTAGCACTGACCTAGTTAGAAATTGAACAGCTTTAATCCCTGTTCTAATCTTATTTTGACCTGCATGTCTAGCAGTGAAAGATTCATGAATTTTTCTAGAAATATTAAATAAAAAAAATTCACGCATAAAAACCATTAAAATTTTATGCAAGTAAACATTTAATATCTCCACAGCCTAAAAATGCCACTTTTCAGCTGGATGAAATGGCCCAAAACAGATTCCTACCAGCAAAGCCAGCGTGCCGGCTCCGACGGGGTGACAAAGACCCTGCTTCGGGAGTTAAAATGGCATCTGAAGGAGCGTGAGAGATTAATACAAGAGATCGAAAATGAACAGAGAGTGAAAAGGACAGGCGTGGATTACAACTGGCTGAGGAACTACCAGACCCCTCACGCGACCATCCCAGCTACTGAACAGAGACAACTGGAAGTTCTGTGCTCTCAGGTGCAGCCCTGTCAGACCGGAACTATCCTCAGCAGGTAACAGACACACTATGTCCTTGTCTTGTGGTGTGAGCTGCTGCTCCTTCAGACTAGAAACTGCCCCATGTCACCAACTCTTTAATCCTATGTACCAAATACCTATCTGCAAAAACCCTATGTACCTCTGGACAGCTTACTGGTAAAAATTTAATTACAATCAAAATTTCTTTACTGGAAGCTTTAATTATAAAGCTTTTCTGATTACTCAAAGTAAGTGCCTAGTCCACAGTTATATTATGTAAGCTGCATTTGGGAGGTGGAATACAAGATAAATTTCTAAATATTCATCCCTGCATCCCCCTTAGATTTCGAGAACTTTTGGCAGAAAATGATGTACTTCCCTGGGAAATAGTCTACATCTTCAAGCAAGTTCTGAAAGACTCCCTCAGCAGTCCTGACAGAGGGGGTCAGCACGCTGGCCTGTGGGACTCTGACATCACCTGTTCCCCGGCCCCTGTGCTCCCAGGTGAAACCTCTGAGAGGTCAGACAAAGATGAAATACCCACGATTTCAAGTTACGTAGACAGAAATGCCAAGAACAGGTTTCCATCATGCTCACACAGAGTATGGAACCTGCCATACTATTACCCATCGAGTTAAGGAGCACTGTGGTCACCTTAGAGCCAGAGCTGTGAGCATCAACCAGAACCGACAGTCACGTGACCCCAGGTTTCTTTGTTACAGATCAGAGGTTAAAATCCCTATGTTGCCAACCTAGTTTAGCAGCACTGCTTTTTAACGACTTTACATAGTCAATATTTTCGTTGGTTAGTATGCTGTTAACTAGAATGTCGCCTAAATGTTTCAATATTTTCTTATACCTCAAACATGTCACAGAACTAAGGAAATTTAATATGAAGTCTGACATATTTTTTGTGAAACTTAATGAACCTTGACTTTTATTCTAAGAGAGTCCATGTGTAGAATAAATGATTAATGTGAACTTCTCCTTACAATGTGATACTGAAATGAAGTCAACATCTATTACATCAAGTTGCCCTCCACAGAAACAAGAGAAAGGGGCCATAGCATGAAAACAATCTTCCATTTAAAAGCATAGCAGTGCTTTCCCTGTTTTTGAGAAAAGTTCACTACAGTCACAGGCAGGAGTCTGGAGAGAGGATGGAGATCAGTCATGAGGCAGGCCGCAGCTGCATGACAAAGAGGCACCAAGAAGCCTGGAGGATGGGGAGAGGTACTTAGGTTCTGGCCAGATCCAAAAGGAAGGAAACAAAGAAAATGTCGTGCCCTCTCTGAGTCCTGACTCAGATCCAACAGAACCTCACAGCAGCCCCTGGGGACTGCTGACAATCTGATTTCTAGTCACAGTTAACAGATCCAGGTTTTTATACCTCATGCTGTTTACAATGCCTTAATTTGGTGACAGAATTAAGGTTAAATCTGTGCATGCATGTGTGCGTGCGTGTGCATGCGTGTGCGTGTGCGTGTGCGTGTGCGTGTGTGTGTGTGTGTATTAAGTACTTAGGACTCCTGGGGTGCTTCAGGGACATTTTATTGAAAATTTATATGGGCACAATAGCTAAAATTTTTAGCTAGGGGATAAAGAAAATAAGTTCATCCACAGAAAAACAGCTGTACAGTACTTTACACAACAGACTTTAAAAGTTGTCATTACTAGCTAGACCAATCTGTTTAGCAATGCTAAAATAATTCTACATGCTGAGTACTGTGCATAACTTCTCATTTAATCCAAACCTTGTACATCTGAGATGTAATTCTCACCTGACAAAGGAGTGAACAGCTCAGACAAGTTCAGTGCCAAGCTCAAGGTAACTAGCAGAGCTGGAATCCTACCCAGCCTGTCCTACCCCAACCCCAAGCTACTTTCTACAGTCCAAATGCAATTAACAGTTGTCTATCTGACACATCCTCTTGGATGCTTAAAGGCAGCACAAAATCAACATGCTCAAACCAAAGTCTCAGCAAGGTTCTTTCTTTCCTAAAGGGATACAATTTAAGGAGCTGGGGGGAGGGTGCAGAAAACATAGCCCCGTTGGTAAAGCACTTCCATACAAGCATGAGGTCCTGAATTTGAAACCCAGAATCCACATAAAACAGCTGAGCATGGTAGCATACACTCTAAAAGCAAATCTAAAAAGACAGAGTCCGGTGGATCCCTGAGTTTACAGCCAGTCAGCTAGCCTAGCCTATTTGATAAGCTCCAGCCAATAAGAAACTGTCTTAAAAAATAAACAAATATAAAAATAGGGCAAGTGAGATGCTCAGCTGGTAAAGGCACTTGCTGCCAAGCCTGACAACCTGAGTTTGATCCCTGGAACCTACAAGGTAGAACAAGAGAACTGACTTCCCTCTGGGAGTTGTACTCTGACCTACACACACACACCATAGCATGCACATGCACATGAACGAACACACACACACACACACACACACACACACACACACACACACACACACACAAAGTAGCAAAGGTACCTGAGGAACTGACTAGCCTCTGACCTACCCAGATGTACACAATTTCAAAAGAGGAACAAGGCAAATATCCATCATCACTAAAACTGCATCTACCACACACACAGTTCTTCGAGGTCTTCAATCAGCATTCTCCATGTCAGGAGATGACAGGACTCCTACCCACCCAGCTATACAAGCCAGGATCTCAGAATCAAAGGGGTGCCCTTGGGATGGGGAGAGCGTAAAGCCAGAAACATACACGAGTACAAAGATGCCTGACAAGGCCGGTCGTTGTTAACACAAATAAGAGCTTGGGAGCCCAGGAAGTGCTTGGAGAAGGAAAAATACTGAAACTGATGAGAGAAACTAGGAAAGAAGGAAGGCAGAGGAAGAGTTCTTTAGCTTTGGAAAATATGGAACTTCTCTAAGAAGCAGACATTTGAACAGGCCCTGGTAACAGGAGCCTACTAGAGAAAAAAAAAAAACACAAGAGGAGAGCAAAGAGAGAGCCATCCACTGGGGCTGGAGAGATGGATCGGAGGTTAAGAGCACTGGCTGCCCTTCCAGAGGTCCTGAGTTCAATTCCCAGCAACCGCATGGTGGCTCCCAACCATCTGTAATGAGATCTGGTGCCCTCTTCTGGCATGCGGCATGCAGGCATACATGCAGACAGAACACTGTATACATAATAAATAAATCTTTAAAAAATAAAAATTAAAAAAAAAGAAAGAGTGTAGCAGGAATCTTAAAAGTTCTTATTAATAAAATCAAACCCAGTTTGATTGGGGTCAGTTATTGGGGTCCATGCTGGTAGATCAGAGAGACAGAACAAGCCACAGCTATCTCACCTCACCAGTTCCTCAGCTGGTCCTGTTTCCTCAGACTGGAAGCCTCTGAGTCCTCATCCAGAATGAATCTCAGCTGAACTGTGTTGCTCCATAGCCTGAAAACTTAACCAGCCAAATTCTTAACCAGCCAAAAGCCTCTAGTTTCTGGTCCTCACGCCTTATATACATTTATGCTTTCTACCATCACTCCCTAGGATTAAAGCCTCACTTCCTGGGATTAAAGGCGTGAGTCACCATGCCTGGCTGTTTCCAATGTGGCCTTGAACTCACAGAGATCCAGAGGGATTTCTATCTCTGGAATGCTAGGATTAAAGG